AAGAAGAAAGATGGATCATTACAGATGTGGGTTGATTATCGAGGACTCAACAAGTTCACTATGAAAAAAAGATATCTTCTACCTTTGATATTCAAACTTCTCGATCAATTGACTCATGCTAAGATCTATACAAAAATAGATCTATAGAGAGCATACAATCTAGTATATATTTAAGAAGAAGATGAATGGAAGAATGTATTTCAAACTAAATATGGATATTTTGAATACAATGTCATGCCTTTTGAACTGACAGATGCATCGGCAGCTTTTCAAGATCTAATGAATGATATTTTTTGAGAATTTTTAGATGATTTTGTTGTTTATTATGTGAGATGACATCTTGATCTATTCTTAGAACATAGATGAATATGAACTTCATGTTTGTCATGTGTTACAAAAATTAAGAGATGCAAGACTCTATGCCAAGATTTAAAAGTGTCTGTTTCACATCACTTAAGTTGACTTCTTAGGATACATCATTTTAAATAATGGACTTATGATGGATCCTAAGAAAGTTCAAACAATTATGGATTGGAAGATTCGAAAAATGGTAAGAGATGTCCAATGCTTTTTGGGCTTTGTCAACTATTATCATATCTTTTTCAAAGACTTTTCTCAAGTTGCAACTCCACTTACATGTTTGATTTGTAAAAAAAAACTTGAGTGGAGTATAGAAGTTGAAGCATCTTTTGAAATTTTGAAGTCAAGTTTTATTTTTGCACCAATCTTGTATCGTGTCACCTTTTTTAAGGCATTTTTTGTAGAAACAGATACATCAGACTTTGCTTTGGTTGTTGTATTATCACAAATGGGAGCAGATGATAAACTTCATCTAATAGCTTTTCATTCTAGAAAATTTTCAACAGCCGAGATTAACTATGAAATCCACAACAAAGAGCTTCTTGCAATCATGGATTCATTTCAAGAATAGCATCATCATCTAGAAGGTGCTTCTAATCCAGTCACCATATATATGGATTACAAGAATCTCAAGTATTTCATGTGAGCACGTGTTTTAAATCATCACCAAGTCCATTGGAGCATGTCTTTATCAAGATTTGATTTCAAGATCACATATCAACCCAAAAAACAATAAGGTTTGTCAAACGCCCTTTTTAGACGTTTTTATCTTATACCAAAAGAAAGAGACAGATCTTTTGATCAACAAAGAATAATTCTCTTAAAGCCAGAGCATTTTCATCTTCGAGTAATGAAATCAACATTGACTGTTGATTCGATCTTTATAAAACAAATCCAATCAAGTATGTCTTCTGATCCTCTTATTCACAATATCAAGAATCCTTCTTTTAAGTCCCAAGATATTTCTAAGTTTGAGTTCAAAAACAACCTACTCTATTTTGAAGGTCGATTATATGTTCTAAACAGAGAAGCATGATTACGTGTTCTTCAAGCACGTCACAAATTTTCAGCAGTAGGATATTTTGGGTACAACAAGACTTTGGAACTTATATCAAGAGATTTTTGGTGGCTACAAATGTAAAAAGGTGTGAAAGACTTTATTCAATCATGCGATGTTTGTTCAAGACCAAAAACTCCTCATCATTAATTTTATGGACTTCTTTAACCATTATCTATTCCAAAACAACCATAGTCTTCTGTTTCTATGGATTTCATCATGGATCTTTCAATCTCATATTCTTATGACTCTATATTTGTGATAATAGATCATTTTACCAAGATGGCTTATTTTGTACCATGTACAAAATCTATCACAGGTGAAGAAATAGCTAATCTCTTTCTTGACAACATCTATTGCTATCATGGATTATCCAAAGATATTATATCGGATAGGAGAACTCAGTTTGTATCAAGATTTTGGGAGACTCTTTTTAAGATTCTAAAAGTAGATATATAACAATCTTTGACATTCCATCCTCAAATTGATGGACAAATGGAGCCTATTAATCAAGTATTTCAGATATACCATCAACTACCAATAAGATGATTGGACAACTCTTTTTCCATTGACAGAGTTTGCTTATAATAACATGGTACATTCTTCTACAAAATAAACACTTTTCTTTGTCAATTATGGTTATCATCCACGACTTGATACTTTTGACTTTTCAAAAGCTGATAATCTTACTGCGAAAGATTTGGCAAATTATTTGTTAGAGCTACATGCAAGAATGAAAGTACAATTAAAAAAAGCTCAAGAACAACAAAAGTTCAATGTGGATGTCTATCAAAAGGAACAACCACCATTTCACATGGGTGACAAGGTATAGTCACTTTGTTGCAATATCAAGACCACTCATCTTTAAAACAAGTTGGACTATCAAAGGCTCAGACCATTTTCTATTTCTGCACAAATCAATCCAGTTGCATATTATTTACACCTACCAGAGTCAATGAAAATCCATCCAATATTCCATGTGTCTCTTTTTGAACCATACAAGACAATGAACATACCAAGAAGAAGATAAGCTCCACTTCCTCCTATAGAAGTGGACAATAATGAAGTGTTCAAAGTGGAAGAAGTCTTAGATTCAAGGCGGCACCAAAATAAATTGGAATATCTTATCCATTGGCATGGATATGATATTAGTGAACGCACATGGGAGCCAACAAAGAATCTTGTAAATGCAACAAAGGTGGTGGAGGCTTTTCATCGACAACATCCATCAAAATTAAAATAAAAAATCTTTCTTATAAAAGAAAAAAAATCTAGGCAAGATAACATTCTACTTTCAATTCTTGTTTGTAGCTTCTTTGTAGTTGTGACGCTAAGAAGATGGAGAACCAACAACTAGCAAATTCAACTAAAGAACCTTCGTTTGCTGACCTATCAAATGAGACATTGCAATTGTGACAACCTTCAAGCTGACGCAATTGAGATAAAGATCTTCAAGAACGACATGTTTTTCCTCAAATGGATGACAAGATACAATGTGTTTGATATCACGACCTTGGAAGAAACTCTCGATGTTTGGTAATTTTATTAGAAGTAGAAACAACTTCTGACGGTGTTCCAAATATTTTATTTGAAGGAAGTTATGAAGGCCTCAACAACAATCAGATAACATAGTGGTTTTGCCACCCTAGTATGGGATACTATCAATAGTTGACAGGCCCTATCAACCATCTTCGAAGAGAACAAAGATCTCAGTATGTAGCAAATATAATTCGTTGCATCATAGATTTTTTCAACATATGATGACCGCTCCTCGTGGAACTCATCCTTAAAAGAGGGCGTAATGTCTTCTATAGAATATCTTCTATAAAAGCTTTCTAGAAGCTTCATAGATGTTGCTTTGACTTTATTGGTGTCTTTAATTGACTTTTTGGATTAAAAACGTGGTCAACAAGTTAGCCATGTACCACAGATGTTGTTAGCTAGAAGACCAAGCTAACTATGTAGCCCACAGATAGAAAAACTTGCCTTATAAATCAAGGCATGTGTCCTACAAAGTCAACACATATTAGAGGTCTTATAGAATATTGCCACGTAGTCCCTAGTTAGATAGTATATATAGAAACAAGAATGAAGCCTTCTTCACTTTTGTCAACTCTTTTCTTACTTTTAGTCTAATTTCAAGAGTCTCAAGTTTTCTTGTTTTTTGGCAATAAGCCATTTCAATTTCCTTTTAATATACGTACTTCCTTATTTCTATTTTGTTACTCTTTCTTTAACATGGATTTCATTGGTTTATGCATCATCTTTTAGTTCATATCCTTAATAGGTGATTATTAATTATTTTATCCACTATTCTTATTTACTTAAATATTTTAAAGAAATTATTATTTAAAATATATATATATATATATATATAATTTTCATAAATTGAAATTTTAAGATATTTTAAATATTCAATATCTAAAAATAATATAGTTTTATAAATATTATTTATATATATTTTAATAAAATAATAATTTTTTTATTAATTTATCTTTAATTTCTATCTTATGATATTTTTATTTTTAGATTAATAGAAAAAAATTATATATTATATTTATACATAATTCTTTTTAAATATTAGTATGTTTTATAATTATTTTTAAATATTAAAATTATATCAACAACAATAATTAATTTGAAGAATTAATTTGTTTAATATCTTATAACATTTTGGTGAAGACATATCACATGATTATTTATACATACATATATATACATATATTTGGAGAAACATGTGTCGTCAGGTACTACAATCTGTAGCACATCCATGCATTCCCTTGTTGATCTACACTTCCTTATTCCTATGTTTTTTTTTTTTTTTTTTTTTCATGTTCATATGTTCTATAGTTCCTTAGTTCCTATATTCCCACATTCTCATATTCCTTGGTTTTCATGTTTTATGGTTCCTTGATTCTTATGTTCTCATATTCACTAGTTTTCTAAGTTCTCCATATTCCCTTCTTCATGGCTAATCAAAAGACTTCTTTATCTCTTTGTATTATGCCCAAGCTTTCTTATATCATAGATATACACATGTACTCAAAAAGTATATGTTTATTTGAACTTGTAATTTATAATATTATTTGTGTATATGGTTTTGTAAAATTATAACCTTTCTTTCTTTCTTTCTTTCTTTCTTTCTTTCTTTATGCATATTTCATGTATTTCTTAAGCCAATTACTACATAGTGTACATTATTTGGTTCATATACAATGTCAGGTGGTTTATGTACAATATCAAGTGTTATCAACTTGTAAAATAAATTTTAACTTCAAAAATGACTAGTATATCGTACATGTGCTAGTAATACCTCTTTTCCAGACATTTCATTAAATTTGTAATTGCAAGATAATAAAAGAATAAATTTATTTTATAAATTAGAAAATACTATTGGTGGAGACAATGATAAGGTATGCATAGACCAAGCCATGCTAAGATCGATATTGACCAAAACAATTTGAAAACTGAATACTACACACACTCATGATATGGATGCACTGCACAATATTTCCTCATTAGGTTTTATCAAGAAAGAAGATGACTTGAAAAAACTTTATTCCACAAAAACATAAACCCAATCTCCATTAAATAAAATTTTATTAGATCACATGGACACCACCCACAAATACCAAGAAAGATTGGGATGGAAAATTCCATCCTATATTGGTCCAAAATTCTACTAAGCGAGTTCTCTTGGCATGGATGGGAGGGGCGTAAAGGGATCCTCTCTTTGCTTCCTAAACTAACTGCAGAGTGGTTCAAGAAATTGTTCTACTCGACACGAAGGAAAATAAATTCTCTGAAAATTATCCATGTGATGATATCTCCACAATTTACAAATTCCCCAAAATTCAGGCTGTTGGCCAGTCACCTCATGTGACATCCTAGGCTTGTGCGCAGAACAAACGGGCTATTTTTTACCACTGCCACATTGTCCCATGGTCTAACAATGTCACGCTCTGAACCAGCTGTAAATCACTCAGCCGTCTGTCTCCATTTTTAGACTGAAGGCACACCCACCCTCCAAAAATTCTCCAGTTCGCCGGATGAATACACACTAAGAGTCAATAATATGCCATAGACAACCTTCACAATCCTTGTTGGAGTTATCGTCTGCTAAAGTTTTTGAAAGAAGCTAGTCCTACAGTAGCAAAGAAGAGCAAGTTCTCGCATTTGGAGCGAAATCAATTGTGGAACAACGTTTTCTACAATCCTGGAAATAGTGGGTTTAACTACGCTTGGAGTCGCCTTTATCTATGAATACGTTTGTATACAGAAAGAAAAGTATCTAAATCACTTTAGACTTAAAGTGCGTCATGTTGGAAATAAGTGAAAAAGTAGAACTTCAACACCAAACCCAGAGCTAGATGTGTAGCGACAGTGCCGATCACAATGGCCAACCATCGATCATTAGCAGTTCTAATCTGTGTTCGGATGTTACCACCCACAAAGATTGCTGACATGAAGCTCGCGGCACCCACAACTAACCATCGCACTATCTCCCATGGAACCACGGATAGAAACTGCAATGCAACACCAACAGAGAAGTAAGCAACGTGCACACTAACAAGTAACTCAATGCATCGCAAGAAGCAAGGAAGTCCTGGCAATGAAGAAATGGGCTTCAGGGGAACTGTTCAAATATTGAGAGACTGTAACGAGTATTAAATCGAAAGAAAGAACCGATCAGTCTTACAAGAGGCATCAAGGCTAGCAAACTTGGACTCAACTTTACCTTCTCACTCAATTGAAAGACAACCAAAGAATAGAATTAACAAAGTGGCATGATTTTTGGGAAGGCGCAGAATAGAGCATTAGTATTCTAAAGCATAAAATATTTTAAATTGCCTGACATTACACAAGATGTAAAGTTTCCAGCAGGAAAATGGAATTGATAAAATCAAGTTGTGAAAATTCTTACCGAGGCCGGAATGAAGACAAAGAGTGAATACCCGTACAAACACCACAGCTGAAAAACTCCTGATGTCACCCCCAAGTACCTTAGTAGGAAATACAAAGCCAAAGGCACCAAGCCAACATATCCATAGAACACCAGAGCTGCACTGGACATCAGGTTGATGTCATAATGCCAATGTCCTCCTGTAGTCTTTGATTTGTAAGACAGATAAGCTGCCAAGTTCCCTAAAGACGCCGTAACAAACACCAGGGTCGAACAAATCCAGAAAGGACCATACCTGCATATGCAAGACGTCAAGCATTCGTAACATAAGTGAAATGTTGCTACACTCATCACAGCTCGCCTGAAAAAATAAGTCAGTACCGCTTCTATTACATGTGTATGTCAATAGTGGGCATCACTTCCTGTATTACAGAACTTAGTGAGGAATGTTAACATCAAAAAAGCTACAGAAACAGGAGGATGAAACTCCAATGAGTGCACTAACACTGCATTACTGAAACAATATACGCCTAAAATTCTAAACGACTATTGGATGTATACTGAGCGTTGGCCCGAAAAGCCATTAACCGCTGGTAACTTACATGTCAGGATTTTGGCTGGTCTTCTCGACGAAGCCTACATCCACTTTCAATGAATCCTTTATACGATCGGTCACGTCCACTGTATCAACATTGAAGTATGGGCGGTATGATAAAACATTGAAATAACCCTGCCAAGCTTGATTTGGTCCAGGAATTCCTTGCCCGCCTTGCCCACCATGTCCTGGTTGAGAAAACGTCTCTGTGACCGCAAACAATAGGAAACCGTAAATAAGCTAATGAGAGCGTAAATGTAACCATTTTAGACATAATCCTTCCTCTAAGAGATATTTTTACAGCACCTTACCTTACTGTAACACCACACATGAGCAAGCTCTTACCTCGACTCAAACTCGCTCTTCAAATATTCAAACTCATGAATTATTAAGAAGTACTTCAACACAGTAAAATATCAGCATTCGTGCTCCAGAATCCAAAGGTAGCACAAGTCGTGGGCTCCCATACTAATATTAATGTAAGAGAAACTATTAAGCATGAAGACATGGCCGGTTAAAAAGTTCTTCATGTGCAAATGCATACCATCAGCATCATTAGGAGGCCGAAATAAACTTGTCATGTTTTCTCTTGTGTCATAAGCAGGAGGAAATATTTGCAGGTTTGAATCTGCATGATCGCATGGCCCCATGACCAGAAGTGTCAAAACACTTCTGATAACCCACAAAGGGTACAGACAGAGATAGAGAATCATTTTTAGACCCCTACTTATATTCGACTACAGATTTTGAGCTGCTTCGCCGCATTATTAATGTATGAGACCACACTCCCATACTTCTATATTTGGCACGTTTGGATAACATTTGATTCAAAGTGCCTTACCTCCCAGTTCACAAGATAAACTTTCGTTTCTCCAATCAGAAATAAAAATTCTTTTTCAGAATTTTATCACTGAAGTGTTTACACTATCTTCGGCAATTTTCAGATACTGTTATCCTATGACATCTACCAGAATCTACCATATTGACGTCAGCTATCATACGTGTCAAGAATCAACTAAGAAACACGAACATCAACCGCTGAAAGCATGAACAGGCCAATTCAAACATCTTTTCAGCTTTAGGCATGTAAGGGTTTTTCAGGCAGTTCGAAGCCCCTCTCGAAAAATGTCCGACAAATAGCTTAACCTTAATACAGCAATTTATGACCAATAAGTGTTAAGTGTGAAAAGGATGAAATACTTCGAGTACTTGGCATTACAAACCGCGTTGTCATAGCAGTGTCTCTTCCAGAAAATCTTGAAGCGACTAATATCAGATAATGTTATCTTGATCACGAAATTATCTGAGTTCATAAGCTCTAATTCCCTCACCTCAAAATATGACTTCATACTGCATAAAAAACCACAAGAACTAGCTTCATACATCACAGACGGAAACTTCACATTAATCCAAAAACACTCCCTCATGCTATTGGTAGTTCAGACACTTTCTACAATATTCATAGATTTCTCCAGGTTTGCACACATTCACTGTTTCTATATCAGAAAACAAATTCCACAGGCAGAACGACCCGGTGATGTCTGAAAATCTCTGTTGCGCACATTGTGCCAAGCCATAACAACCACAGCATAGATTCAATTCAATGTGGCTAGATAGAAAATGACATTTAATAACCCACCTTGAAAATGAGGGACGTGATCAGATTCGACTGCAGCCTACAAAACGAGAAGTGCGGAGTAAATTAAGAGTTGATCTCTGTGAATTTTATTTTCAAATCAGAATTGCACGATTCTACGTCCGACATAGCGTATAAGTTAATCCTGTAGTCGTTGCCTCTTTAGACATAAAATCGTCTACATTTATTTTTTCGAAAATAGCTGAAGTGCATAACATACATGAAAACCAAAAAAACAACCAAACAATAAAGCTAACATAGCCTTAACTAGGCTCTACACAGTGTTCTCAGATATGCCTTGTTGTCACAAACACGATCACATAGAATTCCTCTTACTACAGCGGGAAGAGACATTGGTAGAAAATGGGAAGGAAAACGCGCACCGGAACAGTGCCAGTGGCTTCAGACGCAAGACTTGCATACGCGCCTGCCATGGCAACGCTCTTTTGGAACCCTAAAAATGGTCCGACAAAACTCCTGAAACGTAAACCGCAAGAAATCTCTTTTTCACTTCCAAATCTCCACAACCATTCACATTCCCGTACTCGCTGTTCGGATCGACAGGCATGGACGGGTAAAATTACGATCGCGTCTTAAACCGAACCAAGTGAGGAATTCTGGAGATTCATGGCATCCATTGTCTCCAGTTCCGCAGCAAAAGCATCTCCAGCGAAATCCGCATCGACCAAAACACACTCAGATGAATTGTTGAAGTATGAAGTTCGGGACAAGAAATCGCGCACTGATAGCCCAGGATTAGCTCGATCGCTCATGCCCCGCGCAGACACCACACAACAGCAGACAGACGAACGGACGGGCAACGTGACGATCGCTCTCTCCACAAAACAAAGCACCGACATGAAGTGCTCGGTCAAAGCTTTCTATCTATCTATCTATACATCTCAACCGGGAAGGAAGAAGGATGGAGATCGAATTCCTCGTTGGCCTGGCGTGCGGTTGCGGCTGAGCTGGCACCATCCACGTGGAGGCCTTGCTGAGTCACCACCTCCTAAAAAGGTTTCTGGTGTCAGTCAGTGCATAGTTTTTCTGCTTTTCTTGCTTGTCTCTTTCGTGTGCTTTTTTAACTGAATTTGTTCAGATGTTGTATAGAAAGAGAGAAAATATATATATATACACACGGGAATGTTAAATAGACTCACCCATCATGAAAACAAATAATGAATTCAATATTTGTTTCCCCACTATTCTATATGCAACCAATAAAAACCAACCACATTCATAATGATTATCATATTCTTCATCAAGGGTGCGTCTATTTAGTAAAAGTATGGGTCTATTTAACAAATTAATTGTTAACCAATAAAAAGTCCTCCATAACCTACAAAAAAAACCTCCAATTTATTATTTTTAAAGAATTTTTTTGTGCCTAATGGCACAAGCTTCTACTAGTTATATATCCATCTAATTGATGAGCTTTGCTCAGATTTGCAAATGTTCTGTGAGGTGAAAAATTATAAATTGCTTCATAGGGTTACAACATTTTGAAATTGAATCTTGCGAGTGAAATATGTTGTGTCTTTTAATTTCAATTTCATTTTTTTTTTTTTTGTTCCTTTTTGTCTATTTGTCTTTTTTAATTTAAATAAAACTGAGTTTCTAATTTTATTTGGTTTAAAAATAAATCACGAAGAGCTGATAATGATGATGAAATGATAACTGCAGAAATTAGAACTCTCTGTTATTCAGTGAAAAATATTTGTAAGATTATTTATATTTTTTTGCTCTTCCCATGTGAATAGCATGTTTGACGTCAAAAAAGATTTCTAACACACATCATTGGTTACATTTTTTACAAAATAGAATGTAATCTCTTTATACTATTGTGACTTTTATTCATTATATATTTCCCTATAGATCTCATAGATGAAGCTAGATATTCTATGGGTTACATGTAGTGGATTTTATTTGCTGTTTGAATCCCAAATATTGATCTTGGGAGAATTTGATGCTTTGCATGCCATTCAAAACATTTTTGAATGGAACTGTTTGTACTATTCAAATTTGTAGGGTTTTGAAATGAAAATAACTTGAGATGTAAGTCTTTTGCTATCAATAAATCAAGATTGTTCACAGACATTACAATAAAAATTGCGTTAGTATCTTCAAGATATGTTATATTCCTAGTTGTTATTTCCCAAAAATCAAAATTGCTTTAATTATTAAGTTTACATATACGGGTATCTTTTTTAAACATGAAACTATCATTATCATTAATAGTACCACATAAATGTTAACGATTTTCTCTACAGGTTTTTGAATTCTTATATAAACGTGGAATTTGTAAAAGAATAAGAACATGCAATCCAACTTGCAAATCATGATTACAGGTGCACTTAATCATTTGGAATTGTTGCCGAAGGTACGGTATTTTAAAAAAAAAAACTTTTACATGACCAAATTTTGTTGTCCAGTTAATTTATAATTAACAAACGATGCGAAAAAAATAAAAAATAAAAAAGAGCTTGTGAAAGGGAAAAATTACACATAAAAACGTTGGGGACCTTGGAAACAAGTAGCGTTCGCTCCTATAATTAATCACAAGACCAAGTTTTATTTACTATCAGTTCGGTTCTCAGGAGCCAACGCCATTTGGCACGGTTCTGGTTCTCTTTCAACGAGGACAAGCCAGAGCGGTGTGGAAAGGGACCAGTCCAACTCTGTTCGTCAAGGAATTCGTCATCTACCGTCCGTCGCTCAGCCATGATGACCTGGTAACTGGTTGATAACGATACCCTTTAACATAATACCCTGGAGATCATCGATTGAGATCCTTTATAGCAAGGGGGGTGGAGTGAAGTGAGGGAAAGAAAGTGAGAACTGCGGTGGCGGTCATTAACCAGGTGCTGGTAACTTTGTCACCACGTCAACGGGGTGGGAACCGGGGATACCCGTGCCCGGGGTATTGTGATGAGGACCAGCCAACAATAACACGCCGAAGCGAGACACTCGCCGAGGTTCTTTCTTTCCATAGCTGGCCAGGGCCCTCCTCGCTCTTCCTTCCCTCCCTTCCTCCCCTGCCTCGCATCCTGTTCCTTTCCGCTAACCCCCTCTTCACAGCAATCCCATCCCACCAGCGCCCTTTTCCATCCCTCCCCGCCCGCCGCATCATTTCTGTCACGCCTGTGACAATCATTTCCGCTGCCACGATTACGGTCCCGATTCCGCATCTTCCGACCAAGTTCATGTTCCGGTCTCCAACTCCCTGGGCTTGCTTTTCAAATTTGTGGAGCTGTGGCGGGTCCTTCGGTTTCTGCTCTCCTCTCGTTGGTTTGTGTGTGACGTTGTGGCGGGAAATTTCAATTCTCTTGGGAAGAGGAGTGGAGCAGTGCTATCAAGGCGTGTGTTGCTGTTCGGCCTGAAAGTGTTGCGGTGTTTGTAGTAGTTTCCGCTTACGTCGCCCGGTTTCGTGCTTGGTAAAGTTGGTATTCGTTTCGGTGGAGATCGTGTGAGGGAAGTTTCGCAGTGGAGTTTCGAGGGTAGTTTGTTGGAAGAGTGTTTTTTCCTTTGTTGCTGTTGCCGCTTACGTGGGAGTTCCCTTCATATTTGACGCCTCTCCGAGTTTGTTTTTGTTTTTTGTTTTTTTGTTTTTTTGTTTTTTTTTGTAACGAACGGGTGTCTGAGATTTGCGAGTTTCTAGAAGTTTCTTTATATTTGGGTAACTTGTCTGCAAAGTGAGTACTCAGCTGGGAAGTGCTCAGTTGGCGACAATCGTTTCGGTTGTTTAAGCTTTTGGTTATCATCTGAAAGAGTTTGCGAAAGAGAAGCGAGACATCATGGTGATGGGTGGTAACCAGTCGGGCAAGGGCGCTAAAGGGCTGCTTATGGGTAAAGCAGCTGCTTCTGCTGTTGTAGACGACAAGTCTAAGGATAAGAAGAAGCCTACTTCTCGATCATCTCGTGCTGGTCTTCAGGTTCGCTGAGTTAGCTTTCCCTTGGTTTGTACTTATTGTGTCTCCCACATGCATGTATTTTCATCTAGACTTTCCTTGGCATTGCTTTTAACTCCGATTATCTATGGCCTCCTTCTCTATTGCTCCACAACTCGTCTCATGTGTCTTCTACGGGGCTCGATGAAGTGTTGAGGTCCTGATTATGCTCTTTCTGTCCTTCCTACCTGCTCGCATCCTAGTCAACATCGGTACCTGCATTCTACGTATGCTAAAAATAGTTTAAGAGCCTTCTAGGCTGTCAGGTGGCTTTACGGAGAGTGAATTCGTCAAGTAGTAGTTCTGTGATGTATGTAGTTTAGGAGTCTCACTTGGAAGCTTCGATATAGGAGGGAGCAACAAGACAATAGGATAATCTACTTAGCAATGAGAACATACTGTATCAACTAAGAATTGCAGCCAGCATGTCAGGACCCAGCTGTGGGTTGAATTGAGTGGAGGTGTGCTCTCTAAATGCCCTGAAGTTGGACTTGCTTCACTGGAGCACTCAATTCAACCTTGGACAAATTGATACCGCAGCATTTTGAAAAAATGCACCCTGTGCAACCATGCTTTCTTCAGCGAGGGCATAGTTTTGTCAAATGCTCGCCGCCGTAGGACACGGGGACATGCTATTGATGATTGCTAACTTGTTTGGTGGTTTGGACAGTTCCCCGTAGGACGTATTCACAGGTTGCTTAAGTCAAGGGTGGCCGCGAATGGAAGAGTGGGTGCTACAGCCGCAGTGTACTCAGCAGCCATCTTAGAGTACCTCACTGCCGAGGTGTTGGAGCTGGCCGGAAACGCTAGTAAGGATCTGAAGGTGAAGCGTATTACTCCCCGTCATTTGCAGCTTGCCATCCGAGGAGATGAGGAGCTGGACACTCTTATCAAGGGAACCATTGCCGGAGGAGGAGTCATTCCCCACATTCACAAGTCATTAATCAACAAAACACCAAAGAAGGACTGAGTGTTGTAACTGCCGTATCATTTCTCAGGAGGAACCTATGTAGCAGTACGATTATGCTATTGCATCGAAGAGGAGATTGAATTTAATGGTTACATTCAAACTGTTTCTCTTCTTTGACATTCTTGACGAAGTTGCAGGCAGTCGAGGTGTTGGAATTCCTGTTTTTTAGTTGACTGCTTGTGTCTATGAGAAGATGGGATGTGTAGAGGGTTAGCCTGTTCTGTTCTGGACATTAGCTTCTCGATGTGTCTTTAGCTTTACAAATTTTTTTCTTAAATTTTAATTTTCTATTTTAATTTTTTCACTGAACGCTTTTCTTGTGCACTTCAGCTTTCAACGGCGCTTTATCTTTTGGTGATTCTCAGTTCTCTGCGAATGAGCATGTATACATGAATGTTAGTATTCACATCTTCATTTGCGTGGTTACGTTATTTTTTCTGTTAGATTTGTCTACATGTATGTTCATCCTGTGTTACCTATCAGAAGTGTCACAAAAGGGAGCCTGACTTTCTAAGTCTAACTAAGGTCCTCCGTGGACCTTTAACGTACGTACCCTCAGCGAGCAGAAGTGAATGTGCTTATTATCTATCCGCCCCGCGAAGCTTGAGCATGAAATTGGCCGGAGAGATCTCCTTTTTTGCCCACTGTTAGAACTAACTGTGCTCTTATTCAAATTTTTCTGTTCTTGTTACATACAAATGATCACTAGAGTTGATTTTTTAGATATTGTTACACCTGTGGAGACCACCACCCTCGAGTATGGTATTGACGTAGGTGACGCCACAAACTAACGATATTACGCTCTTATTCAGTTAGACCAAAAACGACGTAGTCATTCTGATCCGGAGAGAGAAAGTGGCAGTGACGAAAATCAGTATAAGACTCAATGTTGACCATGTTCCCAAGGTCTATCAGGCAGACCTCTGCGACGGAAACCAAGTCAAGTTGGAAGCTTGCAGGTTGTGTCGTGGTGGCCGTAAGTTGCTGTGAAAATAGCAGTCAGAACTGAATGCTTTCATGCTCTGGTATAAGAACTGGGTGTATTTGAAGATTTGAAGGTATTTAAGTTGCTGTACTAAGAGAGTACTTCCGAGATAGATAAGTTCTTAAGTTGCTATACTGAGGCTACTTACAAAATTGTCTGCTGGACAGCATCGTTTTATAAAAGCACTATGTCAACTGTATATGTCGTACTTTCAATTACTGTGTTTGTGAGTATAGTTTTGTCTTTATTGGAAATTTTTTAAATGACAAATTGATTATTTGTAAAATATGCATTTGAATTTAATGTGTGTTAAATGTCATTAGTAAACTTGAATTTCGTGGAATATTTTTTTGAGCTTAGGGTTTGTAAAAAAATATATTAATAGAAGGGATTATTTGAGAATAATTACATTTTTTGTTACAGTATTACTTCTGACTTTTTACACCATTTTACTTAGTTTTATTTTTTACACTTCTCTTCAATTTAAATCTTAACTAAGTGTAAAAATTCCAACACTATACTTTAATTCAATCTTTATGCCTAAATTTCTAATTTACTCCTTTACCATCCTAATATTTTATTATAACATATTTATTATTTTTGGTTTTAACCTAAAATGTGATGCAAATAAGCTTTATTTTATTTTTGTGACAAACCCTAAGCTCAAAAAAATGTTCCATGAAATTCAAGTTTACTAATGACATTTAACACACATTAAATTCAAATATATATTTTACAAATAATGAATTTGTCATTTAAAAAATTGCCAATAAAGACAAAACTATACTCACAAACATAGTGATGGAAAGCGTACGTCATATACAGTTGACATAGTGCTTTTACAAAACGATGCTGTCCAGCAGACAATTTATAGATACACTCAATATTAATATAATCATTTATATAAGTACAATTTTTTTAGAGGTTCTCAAGTATCATTGTCTAAGGAATATTTCTTTTCTCTATTGTTATTAACATTAATTAGACCAAGTTTGAGCTAAGATTCTTTATTATTTTGATAAAAGAATTGTGAAGATAAAAATTACATACCTAACAAAAAAGAGAAGACTCTACAAAAGAATTATATTTTAAAATTTTAGAAAACTTTAATTTAAAAAATAATAATTATGGTTAAAAATACATGAAACAAGATGCAATGGTGGATAAAAAATCCATTTGAAATCTTCACTCGTAAGATGTAAAAAAATCCCCACGGCCCATCTTCCCCATATGACCCCCCTCCCCGTTCCAAATATACATGAATGAATGGGGGACACTTCAAATGCTGCACCACAGCGACGCTCAGCGACACACGCCAGACTTGTGCTTCGCCTAGCTATCAATTCCGCCACGCCCCAACAAGGTTATTATCCGGGTATCCACTCGAGCTTGGCAGCTTCGGTCCTCAATCGTGTGTGACGCTGGTCTTCGACTCCGAGCATGCTTGCTTTGCTTTGCGTTGCTTTGCTGTGTGCGAGTGGGGATGGACAATCCAGTTGTTGCTGCATTGTCTGAGTGGTTGCTCCACTTTCCTGCGTCTTTCATGAGGAGTTGTGGTACATGGAATTGCAGGGAGCCGTCAGCGGAGGAGAGGCGGAAGTGGAGGGATGACGGAGACGATGGGAGTAGGTTTTTCGATGCGAATTCGGGAGTATGGGGGCGATACCCCTCCGTCGCTCGCTACAACCCTCCGGCCGCTACTCTGCCTCTGCCTTTCAAGTATTATGGTCAACCTTTCTACAAAGGCTTTTCCTGGGAGAGGAAAGTGTGATCACCAGACGGGTTTATTTGTTTGGATATGATCGAAGTTTACTGACATTGTGTTGACGAACTGTCATGCGAGTGAGATAACTGCTTATGGTTGGTTTGGTTTGCACAGCCGATGTGGTACTTATGCTGCTGCGTCGTGATTTATTCGTGCATGAGAATTTTTGTATCCCGTGTGAAGGCTTTGGGTTATACGCCATTGCTGTACACGAATTGAGATATCGTCGAGTTCGCGATTTGATGTTGTATGCTGTTTTGGTATCCTTTTTGAATGCATTCCACCTTAAAGGTCTATGGCATCCGGTTGAATTTACCCTCTATGAGACGCGAAGGTGTCACACCCCCTCTCCCTTGTACAAGTTTTGCAGAAGACGCCGAAGTTCTAGAATTATTTACCAGAAGGATTTGTATCCATCATGTGATTTTGATTGGAGTTGTTGGTCGAGGTTTTGTGCCTTGTGAAAGAGAAAAGTTCCGACAGAAGTTGATTATCTTAGCGGAGGCATCCTCATCAAGTGTGCGTGGAATACTTTTGGTTAAGAGATATCGCACAACTGCTCAGGTGGAAATTTCAAACAGCAAACTTCGTTGTGGGATAAGCTGTTGAATTCAATCCATGTAATTTAGTAAGAATTTTGATGCTCCTGCATTCAGCAGATTTAGATCTCTTCACGCACTTGTGTTTTTCTCAATATTTGTGCTTTGGTTTTGCATTGCTTTCACTTCCCCTCCTGATGGGTAACGTTTTATGAGGAACGATTAAAACTACAATATGTTTGCCTCCACCTATTCAGAAAATTGTGATTCTATGAAAGAGTTCAGTTTATTCGTTTTCTAGTGTCTAATATGGGTATTTTTCATGGTGTGTATTCCACGTTCTGTCAATATTTGCAATTGTAAGAATATTCACAGTTGGTTACAAACAGATGAGTTGTGTTCTGTAGTTGAAAGGTGTGAGACTTTTACGCATTAGGACTCGATTCAAGTTCTCATTAATAATTTTTTCTACGTTCCCATCATATGAGTTATCCTTTACAGCATGTATAACGGAAAATCTATTTGCAGATCCAAAATTCTTGATTTACATATTCACAGAGGAACTTCATTTCAAAGCCAACCGATTTGTAGCTAGTAATCAAGAATCTAATCAGATTGGTTCTACTTTACGACCACTTTTGAACCCCTCCACAACTGTTACAAAAATTGTTCTAATATCATGTAATTGACACGTCTTCGTAAGTAGAACAACCCTTCCAAGCTATGGGTTGGGTCATAGCAATATTTCAATACTGTAATTTCATGGATCTCAACAGAAAGCAAAAAAGCCATCATGTTATATCCTGAACTCAGAGCAGAAATGCGGAGTGTACTGTACTGCCGACAGTCTGAAATACTAAATGAAGTGTCTAGGTTTGAACTGTTACAGCACCGGTGTCAACCCAGTTTAATAAACGTGGACGAGAATAGGATCACGGACGAAGATCACGTCAAGTACACCACACCTCTTTGAAGGCCTTGGTCATAGGATTACATACATTTTTACTGACAATAATGTGCAAAGAGCCAAATGCTTGTCCACCAAGATTAAAAAAAGCACACTGCCAACGACAATGTTGTTAGACTATTGACTATACAACGTGCAAGTTATGACACTATATGTTGAATGACGTTTTCCACGCTTCCATCATACTGCATAAGCAACCGGATGGCATCTCCTCTCGACAAGGCCAGAAATTCCTGCGCAGACAATAGATGATAGGACAAATATGTGAAAAAGCTTGCACTGAATCTAGTATTTGAAGCTCCCAGGCAATTTCGCTAGGAAACTTGTCGGTAGTCCCAAATTTTTCTGGAACTGCTAAAATACAAGAGAAAACCAATGATAGTTTCGAACTCCGAAGTTGCATTGTCCAAACTTAAGAATCAGAGCACTCATGAGAACAAGAAAAGCCTTGGCCAGTGCTTCAAAAGCATCAATTACCCCAAAAAACTGAGAGTTGAAAGACAAATAGCAGGTTTAGGGTTTATCTGAAACGCTCAGACCTTGTAAAAGACAAAAATGACTATAATGCCACTTTTATCAAAAACACATTAATATCGAAGGATTCGTAGACAAACGAACTCCTATTCCAAATTAGTCATTTCTGCACACTATGTTGCGCATAAACATCGAACAGAAAAACCATGACAAGCAATTTACCATTAATGTCAGTACGGAAGCGTCATCAAAGAGAGGTCGATCCCTCAGCGCGTCAGAAAGTTGGCTCCCGCTCATTTCAGATGTCGACATACACGAACCTGATTCCCCAACCGTTTTCAAGTCCTTTGTGGTGCATTCTAAGGTTTCTGCCGCTGCCTCAGGTTCCTTGAGCGTGTTAAGGTTGAGGAAATCGGCAAAGCGATCAGGACACATTTGAAGTTTACACCATTGAGTATGAGTGTAAAGGGAGGCTCTCATGACCTTCATCAACTGTGGTTCTGCAATACCCAAACTTGCCCCCAGGGCCACCTGTAGCAAAAAGTCGGACCCTTTTAGACTTCCGATGTATACAAGAAAATCCAATTAAATTGGTCGATGCTGGTAGCTTCGCATAGTAATTCAAAATTTTAAATTGTGATCAAACCAACTCATATAATATATAAAAACGAGCAAAGGAAAGGGCACCACCTACGCTAGGCATAAACACTAACCAAATTTTATGTATTCAATGCTCCCAAAGATCCTAACCTGCACTTTTGCACCAATTCTACTTTGATTCGCGTCGTTTAAACGGCGAACATGGTCAAGAGACACAGCACGTGCTAAGACCGAGTGGAAGTTAGGTCAAGGTCTGAACCAGATTGTGAACTGGTGAAGTACCTGGAGCGCAGCTGCCAACACAGATGGGGGAGTTGGCTTAAGGGGAGGTTCGCTGCTGGGGCGTGCAAGAGCAAGAAGTGTCTCCTTGAGTGGCTTAAGAAGGTCAGGAAACCTTGCAGCGAGAGGACCTAAATCAGCTCGAGCAACACTCAATGCTCCAAAGAGGTCTCCACCTTCAATCAGCTTGAGGAACTCGACCTAAGTTGACAAGACATCGTGGTAAGCAGCTCAGAAAAGTTAGATAACACGAAATGATTACTTAAATAATAGGAAGATCGCAATTATCGCAACATAAAATCTAAAAGAATTCTGTACCAGGGATATGTACCATCATCAGCATACAAAATTAACCAACGCAAACCATTATGGCGACTTGTTTAAAAATAATATGAAAGTCGATGGTTGGGCTTTAATACACGCCACATGTACTTGTCATCATCTTCAAACTCAATCCGTGAAATATAGATTTTGACATATATCCCAACAATTAATCAGAAGGAGAAATAACTGTACCTGCTTGAGCTGAAAAAGGATTTGTGGATTATGCTCAAAAAAGTTGGGGTTCAATTTGCACGTTTCCAATATTACTCTGTTGGTTTTGCCCTCGCTCGCCAATTGCCGTATTTCTAATGCCCTTGCATACATCTCAAAGGCATCCACGTGTTCCTAAAAAATGCAAAACTCTTGTGATTACCTTATCTTTCATTTATATGAAAAGTATTCCGGATTGTAAAAGAACCCCACAGCTTGTACAAGACCTTTTTGGGGTTTTTTATCCAATCAGTTCAGCATTCAATTCAAATTTACACAAAAAGTATGAAACTGCTTCGCATACATTAAAAAGAACATCGAGGTCAATGTTGATGAATCAAAATACCATCTTCGTATCCGTAAGAAAAGCACATCGTGATGTATCACTTGCTTCTAGACCGTTCTTGAGATTATTTAGGTCTGAGGAAGAGTTCCATAAACCTTCAGCATACTCTCTAACCGCCATGAATTGTTTCCTTCCCTGCCATCTGCGGCGTCTACAATCGACTTTGCTTCCCTCAGAAAGCAAATATGCTGAACGACAACCATTAACACCCAGGTGGGTGGATCCGCTTGTACTACAGATACCAGAATCCCGAATCTCCTCAGGTGCTGTCATACTGCAAGATCCTTGAGAGAAAGATTCTGCGGCCACTGTCATACAGTGAACCAGGTGTTGGCAAGAAGCAGTGTAACACACAGAAAGAGTATCTAGCAGCTAACATAACAGTGAAAGTCTTAAATGTCCATCGAACAATTGCAATGCACATATTTGGTAGCAAAAAATGTTCTCACATGAATCTGAAAGCCTACAAGTAAGAAGTATTTTCTTCGTCCTCCTAATTCCGCTTCATTAAAATATACATAGGAGGTAACACAACATTTCTATAACAGGCACATCGATGATAGTTTGCTTACTAATTATCTCTAGGAGGAAATTCAAGTCAAATCAATTCAGATCGAAGCAAGTATTATTATTTTCATACATGATCTTCATACCTTCGGTGACTGACATAGCAGGTTCCTCCATATTCACGTCATTTGGCAAGTCTTCCAATCCTTCCGGCGAAGAGTAGTCCATGTTTTCTCGTAATGCAGTCAGAACACTTAAATCCTCCAATGCCGTATCTGGCTGATGATTTGAGGCAGCATTGTCACCAACGCCGGCAGGTACTTGTTCTCCATTTTGCCACGTATCTGTTGGTGTGGGCTGAGAAATCGACCCTCTGGCTCCAATAGCTTTGAATCCATTGCCAACATCAGCCGCAAGGACATCACTTAGCTGCATTGCTACCGCACTACTTGGACCGCCCTTCGCGCATCCTTTAACCAGCCCTCTGTACATGCAATACTCACGAACAAGCTCATCCATTGCAGCAACATTCACCCTAAAGCGGCTCAACTCGTTCTGCGATGCACGAGGACAACGGTAAAGATAGTAAATCTGATAGTTACGCTTTACCGTCTCAAAGAAAGATCCAGTCGAACCCCCGATCTATAATATTTTGACACCAAGCAGCAATTTGATTTCTTTTGCCAATAAAGTGAGTTTCTGAGAAATGTATGAGAATAGCGGCAGCCACAAGTAACACCACAAAGTAACTAAAAAATACTGCTATACACTTAAATGATTGCACTTGTGCACTACGAACCTTAAAAGCAGCTGAAAGATCACCCCCAGTGAAACGCAGACTATCCACTGCTCCCTGCCTAGATATCTCCACCGCTTGCGCTAAGTCTTGAACATCACTCTGCCGTTTCATAACCAAATTTTTTCAGTAATTGTGGATCCAACATGACAGCACTCGAATCTCTGGTTCACGTGCAACCGCCTTGAAAGTTGTCTGTCTTCACTCTTACACAAGAATTTGTTTTTCAAAAGACCATAGCTTGCCCTCCACTAATTAACTTAATTATATGAAACCATTATTAACTTAAAGCTATCACATTTTTCTGAACTTAGTTGGACCTCTCCAGAAAAGAAAGAAAATACCTCTCCGTAAAGACCTGACACCGAGAAAAGATCGACCTCAATGACTTAGCTTAATACCTCACTGAACTTTGGAGCTTCCAACAAGCGTTCCTGAGGCGTGGCGGGAGGATCACGGTCTTTGGAGAGCAAATTGGAGCAGATGTGGAGGATTGGAGAGGCCAAAGCTTGTCGTTGACAGAAATTATCATGAATACTACAGTTAATGCCAAAACCTAAAGCTGGTTAGCTCCCAATCGTCAGCAGTGTTAGCATCGTTCAACTTTAGTGTTCTTACTATTTAAAGACTTAAAAACACTGAAAATCAACCACAAAACAAACAGCCTGATGAGAACCAGACATTTTCATTACATAAAAAATTACTGTCAGAACAATCAACTCAAGTGTAAGGCTACACCCATTGTAGGATCACCAGCCCCAACGAAGACCAACATCGAGGCTTTTCAATATTCACACACCTGATCAAGTAGCGGACAATCGATGAGAGTAATGGATCGTATGCCTGCAATTGAGCTGTGAGAGTGGACGACACCGTTGCAGCCAGCTCAGTCCTCCTGACTTCGGACCACTACTACACAGCGCATCATCCCAACAAGCGTTTCTTTTTAGAGATGATCAGGTGACGTCACCGAAAAGTAAATCACAGTGAGCCACCCGCATTCATGACCGAGTCTGAATTCTGTTTCTGAATGAAATATAACAGCAATACCTCTTCAGCAATGGGTGAACTCTCATCATCTTTATCATACATAAGCGCTAAAAGGACACGCTTGAATTCGTCGTATGCCTCCTGCACACCAATGCCAAAATCAGTTTTACAGGTTTTTACAAATTTCCAAACTACAGAGATACAAGACAATGCATTACGATCATAGAAATATCATCAAATCTACAAGTACACGTATAAAATTTACCAATAAAATGTTGAAGACCTCCAAAGAGTTACGAAGTGCGATGGCATATGACAAAGACCATGTTAACAACTAAGGTGCAACCTGAGAAAAGAACGTACAGGATAAGCATCCAAAGCGCATGGGCCTAGGTGAGTGCGTGAGCACTCGATGGCTTTCATGTGAGCATTTGGGCCTCCAGCTCGCAACAACTCTATAAAATTCTGCATAAAACCCACGAACAACCAGAAAACCACTCTGAAATCATTAATTAAATACATGAAACAGTCACCCAAGAAGCACACTCATGGTGTACAAGAATCTTTACTAAAGACGCCAAAACCAGAAAAGGAAAAACTAAAAATACTGAAGGTAAGGATCTGTAGAGATCTGATGCATTGATTATTATCCTAGAAATGACCCTGCTCCCTCCGTACACATGACATCGCGTGAATTGAACTTGTTTCGCGAAGGAAATCATTGCCACATTACAACACAATTCAAATTACTCAAGTCATTCCCTCGCAATGAACTAATGACCAACACAAAGTAATTTGCAAGTAACAGCGGTGCGGCAAAGAGTAGAGACCTGCTTATAGAGTCGAAAGAGAAGGCGTGGATCTTCTAAAACTATCTGAGCATGTTGCTGCAACAGATGCAGGGATTCGGTGATGTGCCCTGCTTCAATAAGTAAGCGTACGATGGAAATTATTTCACGCGGATTATTCAAATTGGGATCATATGGCCTGCCACCCCCTGAATCCTCGAGCAGCTGCTCTTGATCTACGTAGTCCAGAACCAAAGCGTCCAGCGCACCCCAATTGACAGCTTGTGTTTCCATCAAATCCGATCTGAGCCAAAGCGCCAAAGGTACGAAGTTAATGGACGCGCTTAGAAACTCCCATGTGCAACTCATTATTGCATCAGTAGCCCAATTGTAGCAGCAAAAACTACACGGACTATGTCAAACTTACCTTCTACCAAAGGTAATTGTTGCTGAAGAGGTATAACAGACGAGTATGCAATGCAAAAAGAAAGTGTAACTTAGACAACGCAAGGCGTCTCTGCAAGAAAGTAGCTCATCATACGACTATGGTTCAGAATTATGTATATCGGTAGAACAAGTTGGCACGAACGCCTAATATCTGAACCGGGCCTACAATTTTATTTCGTGTTGATCAAAACGAAGTGACTAAACTGCCTCGAGAGGTGAGAAGAAATTGTGTTAAAAAGAAAAAAGAAAAAAAATAGAAGTCCTGACACTTGGTGAATTCGTAGAATCATCCAGCTTTGACTCTCTTCTATATCATAAACAATATCCTAAGACCTCAGTCGTCATTCAACAATGGGTATTAACTATTCGCTGAGAAATATTCCTCTGTCCTGCAACAAGTATCCATAGTACCATTCCTCGATTCCCATACGACGCATGATCTGATATCGAATCAATTATCATCGTGGGCGTGTAATATCACGAGCACACTCACCCTAAGACGTAGATTGCGTAATCAGTGACAGTTTCGATCAAGGAAGAAACAATATCACCCCACTAATTACTAAGGTCCCCAAGAATTATGACACGAGATCACCCAGCAGTAACGTTATGCCACCATCCAAGTCCAAAACCTATTTAATAAAAAAACTCATGCATAGTATCCGCACACAGAAACACCCAGTAGTGGCAACGAGCATACCGACCCATATACGCCCTAAATTTCAACACCCAGCAGCTAGTAGTTGTAAGCCACGACTGCTCTTCAAAGAAATCCAGAACAACGCCCCTCCGTCCACTTCCTCTCCCTCCAGCCCCCAAACCCCCCGAGCCCTCCACCAATTCCCCTCCCAAATTCGCACAAAGTCCTTCCAAAACCCCAATTCGTCAACACCCTCCAAAACCTCGGCGATCCCCCACAACAGTCTAAATCCTCCCACAAAAAAAGCATAAAAGAAACCCAAAAAACGACACTCTACGCACCTTGAGTTCAACGAATTTGCGCAATTGTCCAAACTAGGTGAGAATTTGAAATGGTCCGGCAGAATTAGCAACGAAGCATGAAAGACGAACAGAGGTGGTGTAAAATGGGATCTAGATGCGGTAATTGCAAGTGACGCTCATCGCTGCGTTCCGAGAGTAGCCCGATTGACGACCAGCGAAAAGATTTCGTCGCCGATCACGATGAGAAAGAACACACTGAGGCAGGCAAGCGAGCGAGCAAGCAGGATTAGAAGGAGGACGAGGAGGCGTCGTGGTGAGTAGGGTAACAAGAACAACACAGACAAACGGACGTGTTTTCGCAGACCTAACGAGATCTCCTGGCCCCCTCTCTTGAAAAGGTTGAAGAAGACCCTATGCCCGCGCATTCATGGAATCATCCATGATATTCCCACATTCGTCCATCTCGATACATCGATCTTTATTCGGGAGTTCTGTTTATACTTAAAAATAAGCCTTGTTTCAAGTACGTTTTATATAAACTAAAATATTCTACATACATAAATATAAAATTAACTTAATTAAAAAAGAAAATATAGATATTAATTTATACCAAAATGATACATACATAGGTATGATAGAAAAAACGAATTTTAAACAAGAAAAGACAAAAAAATAAAAAAAAAGGAACAAAAAAAAGGAAAAGCTTAATAAACAAGTTCACATGAATGCCCAGTAGAGCTAGGAAGAACCAATTCCGCGCTCAACCTCTGCTGGTTTCTCCAAGAACATGCCCAGAAGTTGTGTTGTTTTGATACCTTGTGTTGAATCCCGGGTATCAATTCAGGATATCTAAAATTCATCCAATCAGATGGATGATGTCATGATGAATGTAACTCTCTTCCTGGAGGAGGCACGAAAGATAATAACGACATGCGAGTTCTTTTTCTTCTTATTCTTCTCCTCTAAATTCGAGGTGCTGCTGTTCCAGTCACTGCACGTCGTCGTCGTCTCCAACTTCAATTTCACTGACGCTGATCTCTCTCATTCTGTCTCCCGTCATGGCGGTACGTTACTTCTTCGTGCCACTTCTCTCTTCCTCTCTCCTTTAATTTCTCGTTTATTTTTGTAAAATATTTGTTCTGCTGTGTACATATTTACTCCTATGGTTTGTGCATCGTGTTTATAAATTATTTTTTCTGATTGTGTTTTCTGGAGTGAAGTGAATGAGTTTCTTAAGGTGTATTGATTAGCTTTGAGGTGTTTTGAAATTTAATTCGCGTGTAAATGAGCCTTGTAGACAGTGCCTGTGAATCCGAAGCCCTTTCTGAACGACTTGACTGGGAAGCCGGTCATTGTGAAACTCAAGTGGGGCATGGAGTACAAAGGTGCTCTGCTTTGTTCCTGTCTCTCCTGTTCTAACTGTCTGGGTTGTACAGCTGTTGTCGCTGTGATGCCGCAAGCTGTTCTTTCTATTCATACCCTTCCTCGATCTTCTCAAGGCGTCACTAAACCCTAATTTGTATGAAGTAGGGTTTTGGTTTTCATATGGGTTTTGTTCCATTAGAGGAGCAATTATTTAGTGTTCTTAGAGGATTGGTCATCTTAACGTACATATTCATTGTTTGATATAAATGTGCTCCAACGGTTAGATTTAGGGTACAAAATAAGATGTGAAACCTCATTGTGGCAGTTGGTTTTATGGTGTTATGGGTGCAGGTTATCTGGTATCAGTTGATTCTTACATGAACCTGCAGGTTAGTATCAATTACGAAACCTAGTTTATCAAGTTCAAAATCAAAGTAATATAGAATGATAATGGGCTTGTGGAAGGCCTAACCTCAGTTGTCATCCGTGGTGAACAGTTAGCAAGCACGGAGGAGTTTGTGGATGGGGCATTTACTGGCAATCTGGGAGAGGTCCTCATCAGGTCCGTCTCTTATATCCAAACATCCTAAAGAGCTTCTTTCAGCTGTTGTTTAACTGGACAATGTCTAGTCCTTCCAGAATTTATACGCCGAAGACATCTCTCTGAACAAATGTGTTTTTTTCACATGTAGATGCAACAATGTCATGTACCTGAGAGGCGTTCCTGAAGACGAAGATGCTGCTGAAGATGACGAGTGATCATTTTCGGTAACTCCTCGGTTGATGTATGATATGCGCTGGTGGACGGGTCTGTTCCCTTGAGCTCAAGAGGGAGTTTTTTGTTTTCGTTTTTATTTTTCAACATTTGTTTTTACATTTTCTACTTACACTCCCTTCACCGAATGGCCTAGCTTTTGTTGTTGGGCACGATACAATAGCCACTGTTGATGACTTTATTGTTACGAAGTGCATGGTGAGCTTTATGCATTCCGTCTCGAATCAAATGTTGTGATTATGCGTTTGTGATCTCAGGTGATTTGATGTTTCTTTTCGCTAAGATTTATCAATCTCAAATTTTAGGGTAATTTTCGTGTTCGGAATGTACTATCGACGAAACCTCCTCGTCAAGGTCCAGAATTTCTGATGTGTTAGGTATTTACATTTTTAGGTTGCTGTGGAAATTTGGGCTGCTCACCACCCTCGAGGTTTTCAAAGACGAATTTTGTTAAAACGTCCTAATTCATTTTGTGATGGCAACTACATGGGATTTTAAATGATGCTTTTTACTGACAACTCTTTTGAAGCATCAATTTATGGTCCAGAGGATCGAACTCTCAATCCGTAATAGCACGGTCCGATATCACTAATTGGATTCGTATCCGGTTTCGGATGTGTCGTATTGAACAGAATTACTGCGTAGACCATTCTCCCATCCTATTTCATCCTCTAGAAATGATATTACTCTGCCTCGGATACACGAGGTCTGTGACCAATGCAAGCAGAATAATGTGATGCATTTCTTTGAAGTAAGCGAATGTTGGTGAAGTCCTCGAGTCTCTACGCTGGGGCCATTTCGCATCTAGTCTTGACACACAAACACCGCGTTTCACTGGTTGAGTTGGGCCTCTGACTACTGTGACCCAATTGAATCGCTTTAGTACACATATTCTGAAAAGGATCCGGCTTTATTTGTGAACGGGGAGATCATATAACGTAGGAATACCTAAACCCGTGTCAGGCCCTTGAACCCACTTGTAGACTTTGGCGGAAACCGCGCTTGTATGAACCCAAAACCGCTGGTAAGAATGTAGAAAGTTTTCGAGTGTATACGAAGTCCACCAATGATCGGCAATCTTTACAACGATGGTTTTGCGTGATGGAGGCGGTGGGTTACTCTGTTTTTACGGATGGTTTAGCCCAACTACGACTCGGTGCAGGGGTAAAGTGCAAAAACTGCTTTGATAATTTTTATCAATTCAACCACTGCGTCAATTTAAATTTTCCTTCTGCAGCACATCAGATTAATGTTCTTTTTTGAAACCAAATCAAATTAATGTTCTTTTTTGAAATCTATTTGATTTTTTTTTATTATTACTTTAAAACTTTAATTAAAGACGCAGTAACCGTGAATTTATTCAAACTCTTTCATCATTAATCGATTCATTTAAATATTTAATCAAATTATAAGTTATAAAATTATTTACAATTTAATATAATGAATGCTTGTACGTAAATATATACTTATTTAGCTACAATATAAACTCGTTATAGAATTTAGAGTGTATGTGATCCTTATCATGTGGTTATTAGGTATGAGCCAGTGACACAAAGCAGTTTTTGCACTTTACCCCTTTTGTAATAGAGAACTTGTGGTTACCAGACTTTGATAAAAACAGATTATATAGCCTAATGTTAGCATGTTAAACTTAGAATGTCCAGAGTATAAGACTAATGCACTTGTACTGCATTAAATGTCATAAATCTTTCATAGTTGGATGGTGAATTCAAATGTATTCATCACATGAAAGTTCTTTATCGAAGATTTATGATTGAATCACGGTATTTAAGAGGTTTAATACAAACATTAGCAATATTTCATATTTAAGATGAAGTATTTCCATTTTATCAAAATTAAAAATTATGGGTGCTTAAACACAGATGTAGGCCCTAACAGAATTAATTTTTTTTAACATGAGCAATCAACTTAATGGCATTGCTAATCACAAGTTCGAATTTCAGGTTAGATAAATCGAACCATGATAACTAACTGCAAGACAAAAGCTCTACTCTGTAAATTCAAACTAAACTATGAATTCGAACTTTGACAACGCCTGTTGTTAACCCCTATTCAAGTTGCTAGAAATATTACAGGTATTAAAACTTCCATACTATTTACACAACTAGAAATATACAATATAAAAGTACGTATTTAAAAATCCTTTGTGTCTCTCCTTCTCCCTCCAATGACAGTTTATTGCAAAGATCGCTTAAGACTGGAAGAGCACTGCACTTGCCTAGTAGAAGCACTTTCACAGGCTTTGCACAATGCCCACACAGGCTTTCGAAGTCTCTCTCTTCATGCTGCAAATCTTGTGCATTTGCAGCTTTCCATAGAACATGTGAAGGTGACGATCTCAACGACAGCTGATCCTTGGTAGAGATCGTGAAGAACATCTGCAGAGAGCGAGAGAGAGCAAATAAGTGAAAACCACAACTAGCAGAGTATATGTGTATATATATATATATATATATATATATACAGCTATAACTGTGTCGAGAAAAGAAACCACATGCATATGCATATCCTGAGCATAAATTTACAAGTCTTCAACAAAAATCTAGTTATGAATACATCGAATCTTTCACCTACGAGACGTTAGAACATCAGTGGACAACATGCTGGTCCATAACAAGGCAGATCTTTCTTGTCAACTCCAGAGAGCTCGGCAGCGTCAGTAGCTTTCGAAATGCAGTTTCACAAAAGGAAACAGATTAAGTGAACACAACAATGCACACCAAAGAAAGGTTGGCAACACAATTTAGTTCTGCTTAACCGCCAAAGCAGGAGTGTGTTTCACTGCTGTCATTAGGGTTACAACTTTGATCTGCTTGCAATCTTTGCCTAAGCTCGTTAACTTCTTGCTGTACCAAGAGGAGACGGTGTTTCAAAAGAAGGTTCTCATCCTGAAGATCTTGTATGCGCCTGTCTTGCTTTGCCGCTCCCCTAATCTCAAACCTGCTCACGCCTCGATCAATTCGCTGCTCCAATCGTTCCAAAGAGTCTGCAGGAGAGGATGGCAGGCGCTGCTCCACTTCACACATGTTAATCACATCGGGGTCATTTACGACAGTGCTGGCACCACCCCACTCATCACCATCGTTTTCGACACGTCGAAGACGTATGAGGCCTGTCATGGAGCCATAACCGTAATCCTCGAGATCCAAGAGATCCTGATAAGAACCGAAATCGTAACTGGAAATGGTAGGGGACGGGAAAACGGGTGCTAATCCTCCACACTTTCGCACTTGCATAAGGAATGAGCTGTCGTTAAAAGGGGTTCTAGGTACCGTCCAAGGGACTGATCCTCTGTGATCATGAAACTTTCTAGCCTTCAAACCCTTCTTCTTCTGTGAACCTTTAAATCGCGAAGGACCCAATCCCGGCTCCTTCACGCCCTTCTGGAAAATCGCCGAATACATTTGGTATTTTGGTTGTGTGCTCTTGCTCCTCCACTTGCGCTTCGGAGGAGCACCATCCCAGGGCACCGCGGGGTGTCCCATGCCCTGCTCCGCCATCACCACCTGAGTCGCGGCCATCTCTACAGGATCAGTAAAAAGGTGAAGCTCAAGACTGTCCGTCAACCACGCGCCTTGTTCGCACGCAAAAGAGCTCAGAAACGACGAAAGCAACACCAACCCAACAGACTAGTTCGTTCACTCCACGTAAACTATATAACTGAAATTGGCACTTAACAACAAACGCTGGAGTATATGAATTCGAGGATTGACGGACGCCGACGGTCTTGAAGTAGGGACCGAACGCTTGAGCCACACTTCATCCATGGGAGGCGGTCATAACTTTCTATCCACGTTCTGTGATTCACAATATTTTTCATTGTGTTTCAATTCTGTCTTTGAAAGATATTTTAATAAATTCTTGTGGTGCCATTTGATGTTTACCAACCTTCGAATCTGATTTGTGTTCTGATGGCAATATTGTCAGTACTTTCTGTTAACAGTAAATAACAACAAATGGAATCATAATAGTGCATTGTTTTGGTATCTTTGATAAGAGATGTTAAGAATGTTTCGTGAATTGGGGCTTGCTCTGTGTTTTCTTTTGGGGTAAAGTAGTGCATGAAATGAATAATCGAATTCAAATGATGATTTATTGGTAATTGTAAGAAACCTGAAGAAAATTGTTTTCATTTTTACAAACATTTGAGATTTTTAGTTCCAGCCACTTAGCGCTTATTACGAGATGAAAATACTCGACAATCTTCGCAAAAAACAAATTCTTGACATGTAGCTTGAATTGAAATTCAAATATTACACGTTCTGAATCCCAATACTTTGATCACTATTTTTTAAATATTAAATTAATTTGTAAACGTATCATAATCGTAAATACGATGATCCATCATGGTGCATTATAATTAGTGCGTTGAAATATAAGAAATTTGCATCAAAATTACGATCTCGATCGTGTGAATCTCTCCAGTTCGACCCAACCAATATACTGGATTACAATAAATTCAACATAGATGATTGGACTGCTAGAGTGTTTGCAGCTAAATTGGAAACTAGTATAATCTTTGAAGAATTAAGGAACAAAACGACCCTTCACTGTCATTATAGTAAAGCACCGAATTCTCAAAGTCCAAGTTAACCTGCACATTCCATATAAATCCTCTTAAACATATCATCAAAAACGTATAGCAAAAGAGAAGGCAAACCTATTCAACATAGTAGTACAGTTTACCAATTTGGAAAAAAGCGCCATTTACAAATGTTTACCAACAGTTAGTCTTCAATCTTTATCGAAATTGTCGGACTCTCATGCAAACCAGGAAATGAGCTAACAAACTTTGTCTCTGCAATAGATGGTACCTTCAACACATTAGGAATCTCACAATGACAACAACACCTGCCACCGGTTGACCACAGATACAAGAAAAGACGGATAGAATATGTTAGAAACCATTGACTGCACACAGACAAAGATACCAGTAAATTTCGCCCTAATGGCATTGTTAGCAGGGGTAGTAGTAAGACCTGGCAGAGATACAGCTTCATTAGCTAACTGATCAGCTGACGGATTGAATCGCTGTATGAGCAGAAAATACCCACATCACAACAAACATAACCAACAAATTAAGTGATGCATAATGAACCATAATATGATGACCTCAAAGCTCCAAAGCTAAACAAATGTCCACTTTACAGGCGATCTTCGACAAATTATCCACAGAATGAACAAAACGAGAACTTCCTTTCACTCGTTCCATGCGCCGCTCAATACCCTGTAACATGGTAATGATAGCAGAAAACGCATGACACGAAATTATACACCAACATCCATCGACTTGATCCCAGAGTAAAAGCGTGTCATTTTTACGACGTCTAAATGCTAGAACTTTCAATGATAATGTTGCAGATGACAGAAGTGCAGGAAGCATACTCTTACGACATGTTTTACGGAAATTTCTCTAAAATTCAGCATAAGCATCTGTGCCTCCTTCCACAAAGGAAGGAGTCCTTCATCGTTCACCTTCCATTTACCTAAGACCTGCACCACTGACCACCTCACATTAGGAAAACATTTGTGAAAACATTGCTAATATCTTAAATTCTTTGCTCTTTAAGCAAACGACATAAAACATCATCAATGTGACCGCAGTTAAAAACGCACATAAACGAGAACAAGTCTTATTTTAATTCCACATTCTCTAAAATAAGCTCTGCAACACAAGAAGTCGCATTTTTCTTTGAAATATGTACTTTGAGAATGGAGTTATTCTGAAAATCCTGGTATACAAGCTAGAAAGATGAGATTGAAAGGATCAGGTCTTACTTGTTGACAAACTAATTTAGAATCTCCTTGAACCCTCACACGATAAATCCCTCTGTCAAGTGCTCCTTTTAACCCTAATATGAAAGCCCGGTATTCAGCCACGTTGTTTGTGACAGATCCCAATCCTTCTCTGAGCTCACAGAACTGAAATGTACACCAAGTCAATGCAACCAAATCAAGTGCCCAATAAGTTTAAGCTCTACCCAAGTGTCAGTCAGCCCTTTTGAGGAAAAACGATCAATAGTTGGAACACCAAACAAGAAGAGTGAAGGTGAAAAAAGAGTATTGAAAACTATGTTTAAAAAGATACAATAAATATATACTGAATAGTGGGCACAAGCACGATATCATCTAATGTTCAAGCACATACCACAGATCCATCAGGCCCCCGCACCAAAGCCCCAGCCCCAGCTGGACCTGGATTGCCTTTTGAAGCACCATCATATTCTATTTGGTACACGTCATCCTAGAAGAGGGAGCAGCTTAGAATGTTAGTTGCTTCAGCAAGCACATATACATAGGTGAAAATAGTACACAAAATCCGCGACACTGTCACCCTTTAACCAGAAAAATAAATAAATAAATAAATAAATAAATAATGTAGGAATACCCCCTCTCTTACTTACAAACCACACAAGGATTAGCCAGCATCAACAAGAAAGAATCATGCGACAAGCAGTCTTCAAGTGATATCGACTTCTCGTGTAGTAAACTTTCACTGGCTAACATAACTTAAAGCAATCGAGGGCTACAGGCTCGTCACAAATATGCGATGGCACATATCCCTAGATTTTCTGGTCAATCTAGCCAGGAAGGAGCATAGAGGTGGAAACAGCGAACTCACTGCTTGGTCTTGTGAGACACCAGTAGTATCTGGAGCCTGCAAAAGCAATTTTGTGACATTTGGAAAAGAAGAGGCAGTTAGTCCACAAAATTTGATCTCTCACCTAATTCAACGACGATTAAAATTGCCCACGATTCATACTTTAAAATCTTCCAAGAATAAGAAATGCACACATCGATATCATACTTAATAGTAACACAAGGTCCCCCACACAAGAATAGAGGAAAGTAATGTATCTTTCAAATATTCAAATACTCGACCAGCGGCATTGATTGCGCAGACTACACATTGAAAGTGTTTAACATGGCCAAAACTACCTCAATTTTTATAGACGGTCGAACTGTTCCCGATGAGGTGGACTTCTTTAGTCTTTTCGACGATGGTTCTGACATAGCTGGCACCTGTTCCATACTTGGTTCTGCTTTGATACCCAAACCTTGACCCATGTAATGCTCTGCTTCCTGTCGATTACTGAAGCTCTTAAACTCAGCTCTTGCGTACCCATTTGTCTGATGACCCGGCATAAAATTTCACACATTGAACACGGCCACAACGTACTCAGTCCACCCATCCATAGTTCAGTGCTGACTACTTTCAGGAATGTAGAAAACTTAATACAAAGATAACGAAACAGGACAAAGTGAAGTCCGCATCGCAATTATACTAAACCTTCGCAAAGGCAAACTTTTGGCACCCGTTTCCCCTAACAAATAAAGATCCCGCACAGCCCAACAGACAAGCACAGGTGATAAGGACGCGCCTCGGCAATCCGCTGCTTCCCAAGATCGGACAAATTAAAGGAAGCTAATTTCCATGGAGGATGCAAGGCACGACCCAGACCTGCTCCTGGCATTCAGCCCAGGTAGAGTAGATGCCAGGCATGCGCCCCTTCCTCACAGCATAGAATTTAGGTTTGGCCTTCGGCGCCATCTCGGTGCTTTGGACTTGGCTCCTCGCATCCACCAAGACAACTTACGGAAGGATGGGAGCAGCGGTGGTGACCTTTCTCTCACACAATGCTATGGAACATTTGCAGAATGGAAAAGGAGGAAAAGATTGACCGAGTCGAACCAAGGAGAGAACCCACCGGACATTCATGCGGAGTAGGCTAACGACAATCCATTCCTGTAAGTCCCTGCCCAAGACTTGCACAACCGAGCTACTTAACAGCAATCCCTCCAAAAACCAGATCACACTTAACTAATCCCTCATCTACAATAGACTCTCTGCAAAAGCTGCAGCAGAAATGCACACAATCTCTGGGCAGCATCCAACACGCAGTCCTAACACACGCTGCATCTCGAACAATTGAAGAAGTATGGATCTGTCGAGATAAGATATTAGGTCAAGGGACACTTCACATTGTCCGAATTCAATCAAGGATCATTTCACCTAAGAACCCTTATTGGATGCTGGATTTCTTAACAAATACCTGGTCGTCGACAAAGAGACAATCATCTTTTGGAAAACCTGAGTGCATCCCTTTGCAGGTTGCAACGAGCCAGAGAAATCTATCAATGCTCTGTCTTGGGACTATCAGTGTGCCTTTGTCGGTAAAACCACTTGTGCGTCGGCGAGGCCGTGGATGCTAGCCAAGTGTGGTCCATATATCATGTACATGAAGGTGGATGCATTCGGAATGGATGGAAACAATAAGAAAGACAGGAAAGAATGGGAAAATAAATGGAGAAACTAGAGTTTGTACTAACCAACGTGCAAAGATAAGACGAGAGTAGATGAATGCAAAATAATGTAGTTTAGAAATTCGTGGTGGATAGCACACTTCTTGTCTATTTGAGTGGAAGAAAGGATTTAAGTTTAAATAAACAGAGGGTTGAAGATGATGAGAAACCTTCCGGTTAGGTTCATATAGGAGTTTGATGTGCTTGTGTCATTTTAGAGCATTTAAGATTTGAGGGTATTCTGTTCAAGTAAAATTAAGTCTTTGATGCCTGCAAAACACAAATTTGTTGACATAGCCTTTGACAAAAGCATTAGAAAAACTAAGCAACTGTGTATGGATATAAGTAAAAGGTGCTTGAACAGGTTAAAACAAAAGAAATTTTTTTAAAATTACATAAGTTAAATGTGAATTAAATTTGAAAAGAACATTTTTGTGGCAATACAGAAAAGATGTACAAAGGTGTAACAAGATCAACCAAAGCTAAAAACAATAACATATAAATGAAAGCAATTGCAACACAAAAAAGTTTCAATGCTAATTGATATCATCCTAATGCTGAAGATATATCATAGCAAATACAAAAAGTAGATTAGTTGAATCATTGTGTCTACACAAGACCAAACAAATTCAGTTCATAGAACCCGAAAAAATAACCACCAAGTTCATTATAATAAAACAAATAATCCTCTAAAGAAAAAAAAATTCAAGGAAACCCAGTACAAATCTCAACAATTAAAAAGCAAGCCATATATAAAAATATTATAAAGAACAATAAAAAAATACTAATAAGAAAAATCAAATCTGTTGAGACCAAAAGAAAAAAAAAAAAACAAAAAACAAAACAAAACAAACAAAAAAAACATGAGCAGGCATCCACAAAAATACATTTCAAATGAAAAAAAAAAAAAAAAAAAAAGATAAGAAAAAGGATATCAAAGGTCCCAAAAATTACAAAAACGAAAAAAAAAATCCTCTTCTGTTAGAATAAAATACACAAGAAGAAAACATCATTAATGAAAAGCAACACAGAAACCCAAACTTAGTGACTAATCTGCAAGGTGATATTCTAAAATGACTGCATAAACACACATCTAAATAAATAAATACAGAAAATGACAAATCAGTTTCCCTGATTTCAAGACAAAGTATTCAAGTGAGTCTTGCTGTCTTTGTTTTATTGATCCCATTTTATGGTTCTTCTGTTGGTCATGTGTGAAGATTTAGTGGTGGACTTTCAACATCAAAGTCAGGGCTGCAAGGGTTGAGTGGTTTTAGGCCCAGGCCTCCAATCCAATCGAACAATGGGCAGAAACCAGAAACCAGTTTTGATGTTTCCAACAACTAGCAATGTTAAAAGCCCTTAGAGAGGAAAATGGAGTCGCTATGAACTCCTGGATGCACAAACAGTAGAAAATAACAAAAAGCCCTTAGAGAGGAAAATAACCGAAAAGAAAAGAAAAATCAGATAGAAGGAAAGAAGAAGAAAAGAAAAAGAAAGTGTAAGAAAGCTTCAAAGGGGCCAAAAAATAGGCAAAAAATAAAATAAAAAATTCAAATACAAATGAAAATATGAATACATACATTCGAGGCTATACAAAAGCAAAGAAAAAGAAAAAAAAATTAAGAAAGACATTTGGTCTTCCTAGAATCCAAAACAACAAAGCTTAGTGCAAGTATGGAGAGAGACATTTTAGTGTGGGCATGTTGATTCAAAGACATTGCAAGAGAGGAGAACAAGAAACCACTCACATCCTATTTTGAACTTGAATACTATGTTTGGTAGGGTCAAACAACTACCAATGCCATAACATCAACTCATCTATATGTTGTTTTTGTCCACAAAGATCTTATCAAGAATGAAAATGCATTAATCCTTTGATATTGCACAAATTATTGAAATATGAATGGTTGTTGTTGTTATTGCATGCACACAAATGCTTTGATTATTTCCACAAGGATAGAAATTATACAAATAAATATATGCCTATGCAAATACATAAACACACATCTATATCTATGTATATAAATACATAAATACATAAATTAGAGACAAATACTATTGTTCACAAAACAAAAGTGATTGAAAGTCAATTTTGAAACCATGACTTCTAAGGATTTGAATCCCAACTTAAGAATTGAGTTTTAGACTCACCAAATTAACCACATCATTGCTATGAATCAAAACTAACATAGTCATCTATCTATTGAATTTCATGTAGCTTTACACATTCAAGTGCTAAAAAAATGCATGTGCATTTCAAGATGCAAGATTCAATGTCCATTCAAACAACTTTTTCATACAAAAGGCCAAAATGGTACAACTCTTAATTAACAAATTGAAAGGCAAATTACAAGCCAAAAATATGACATGTTCTATGTAAAGGGAGTGGGTGTGTGCCACAATAGGTCCATGGAATTGGATTTGCATGGTATGCTAACACATGTTAAAGGTTGGCTCAAATAATTATACAACACTAAAGAAGATTAGGTGCAACTCTCAAAAACACCTTTGATTTCATATTGAGCTTTTGTAACAAACAAATTTATTCTGAAAGATTTTTTTCTTCTGCAATGCAAATTGATTCTCTATTGCAACACAAACAAAGAATATACACACTAGCCACCACTTGTTGTTTTCTTAGGATATGAGGTGGAATCTTGAGAATGCAACAACACACAATTTGCCACCATCCACGTGCTTGACTGTAACTATTGTGATGTGTGGCTGTGAGTGACTGGCAAGCCCATGCACCCTTAGGATTTGAATTGATGCACGAATCTCACAATGTCCCTGGATGTTGCTATTATGCAACGTCCATCTCCTGCAACGACCAACAGTCTCGTCTACTGGACTCATGCAACTAGTTCCAAAAATTCTTTGTCATCGATTCCATAACTTCACCCCTTAACTCCAAAAATTGCCTTGCTTCCAAAATGCATACATTCCAACATACAACACACACACTACAGCAATGGTAGCTAAAACCTGCAACCAATATGGACCCATTTTGTGGCCCACAATTCAACTTTTGCTCCTGCGCTTATGCAAGCAAAGGTGATGCCAACGTGCGCAACAAGCACGTCCACTTTCACAAAATGGGAAACCAGCAATGTTTGTACTAAGGTATTGGACACAAGAGCCTGCATCCGGTGATACAATGGAGTTGTGGCAACGATCACAAATTTCACAAAACAGCAAACAAGGCCTAGCCCATGTTTCGTCCCAACCGTTCTTTCCAATCAAGCAATTCTCAAACGTTGATCTAGAAAGCTGTGTAACTACCTACAACTCGCAACCATGTAGTCTACCAATATCTTACAACTTAAGTGTTCCTGTGGCTGCACTCCAATTGCTTCTACTCCAAAGGCGCCAATCCTCGAGCTCTAATCTTCATATGGCCAAAAATTATCTGTATACTTTACGTTTGAGTGGCTAAGCTTTGAGCACTTACATTTTGAAGACGGCGGAGTGGATGGAGGCCTCCGTCACTACTAGATCCAAAAATTCCAGCATTGCAATTTGCCCGTTTTAATGCTCTGACTTGGCCGTAAATAGCCCAAAGTTGTGAGCATTGGTCGACTCTCCGCTCTTGATTGGCACCAGCAATGTATACGTGAATAATTGCATGGCAGTAAGGAAGTAGAACAGACCAGTCTGCCCGGCATTTGTGACTCGCTCGAACACCATCTGCCCCATCAACCTCTCCGCCACCACTGCCCACATGAACTCAACATGGCCAACTGGTAGTTGATGGTCTCGAGTGCGGCTCCAGCAAATGCAAACATGCTGAAGAACGACTTGTCTCCAACCTCCGGCTTCTTCTCCACCTTTAGGCGCAGATAAAACGACCTTGACGTTGGCTCCGTGTCCATCACGAACTTTTTCTCCGACTTGTTGCTCTCTTGGTAGCGCAAGATGTCGTCCTTGGTGATGTTTGTCTGCTGGTCCACCACGGCCTTGACATCTGCCAAATGATCCTGATCCTTGATGGCGTTGCACCACACCCTTCTTATAAGGAAGGTCATCAACTTCGGGGTGCTTGCAACGTCGGCTCCGCCCAACTTGTTCAACCTGCCCTGGACAGGCAATGCCAGGAGATCCCTAAGCTTAGCAGCAACTGCAACCTGCGACAAACCCGCAGAAGCCAAGTTTGCTTGGCTTCTAATTCAACTCCCACAAAGTTCAACTACGCACGTGGTGCTCCCGGATAGTGAGGCCGTGACTTCCAAATTATACAAGAACATTGTATTACAAAATATGTCTGACAGTGTTAGGTCTAGCGCGAGACTAGTTCGACAATGGAATGATTTGATGCTGGTCCATGGAGGAGGTGGGTTGTTTATACCAGCGAGGGCCCTAATGTGTAGCTAGCAATCGGGACCAAGTCGGACGGAGAGGATTCCACCTCACTCAGAAAAACAAAGAAGAGACTTTTTGTGAAGAACTGCTAAAGCAATGTCCACAAGGCCGCAGGCGGGAATGTGCAGGCTTGCGCCTTCCATTTGGTAAAGCGAAGCGAGTACATGCTCAAAAAGTGTCATCTGGGCCTTGATAGAGCATGCTCTGGCTAACAAAAGCAGCAAATTTTAAACCACAAATTTGTACCAAAAGCACGAGCAACTGATCTGGCGAGGCACAATTTATGGGATGTTTGCTGCCGTGGCATTGAGGCGAGACAGAGGAAGAAATTCGCTTTTAGAAAGCGATGCTGGTACTTGCGCACTCATGTCTGCAACATGTCTATTGATTCTCCTAGTTTTAGTTTCAGGTTTATGATAGCATTAACAAGTTCCTGTTTGGTTTCATACTTGTGGATTTTTTTCAGAAAGTTCCATTCACATTCCTCCTATGAAGCAAGAGATGTATTCATTGAGAAGTCAATATACCAATTAATAATATCACCTGTCAAGGTAGTCCCAAGTAGTTGTTTATATTGTTTTGGATTTGTGATTCCAGTAGATTTCAAGATGACTTTAAATTGGTTAACATGTTGACTTAAGTTACCTCCCTCAATAAACGCACAATGTAAAAGTTTGAGTGATTTTATTGTGATTGTGGTTTTTGAGCCAACACTCTTATTAGGAATATTTTAGATTATTGGATCCTTGTAATTGTGGATCTGTGTTGATTAAATTTTGTATTTTGAATGAAATCTGTTTTCTGCAACTATTTTCCAAAATAGCAAATATATGTTGTTGCAAAGCTTTTTTTAGCTCCCAATATTGAGTTGATAGTTCTTCTAATTATTTGTTAGGTCAAATACATGTTTTCATACTTTTTTATTAAACTTTTTGGTTTTTTGGTTTTGGTTTTGGTTTTTTGATTTTTTGGTTTTTTGGTTTTTTTTTTTTTTTGTCTTAGGAGCTTTTTCTATAATGTTGTCTTTATTTGTTTCTAGAATCATATCCGTATGTGCATATCCTTCTACTAGAGATTCATTCAACATAACATATAACAATATCTATGATTTGTTCATCAACCCTTCTACTAAAAAGTTTTCAAAAAACTATTGCTAATATGGTTGCCAAAATATTAAATTACATCCTTCATAGCTTCAAAGAACTGAGGCTTTAGAGACTAAATCCTTGCAAATCCTTAAATAATCTATAAAGATTCCAATACTAATTTGTTGTGGACTTGTGTTAGTCCAAGTGCTTTTTTTTCCATTACCTCTATACAATCATACTTGAAAAGATCAACCTACAATAAAAATAGAATAAAAAAAGATTTACAAATATAAAAAATTTCACAAATTTATACAAGTAAAGAGACTCAAAATTAGTTTTGCCACTGAATCTCGACTATTATTGCAATGATCTACTCATCATACAACTAAAAAAATGCCCATATTATATTAAGTTCCTTGTTTAAGTAGATGAATATATCATCCAGTTCTTTGTTTATTTCTATCTGATTGTCCATTTGTCTTCCAACTTCTATTTGATGTACCTGTTTTCTTTTTGCTTATCTTCTATCTTAACTTTTGACAACAGACCTCCACCAATGATCATTAAAATAATGATGAATTGATTTTTTTAATATTGTATAAGATATCAACTAATGTAAGCAATGAAGAATAAGACACATTGGCTTGATAGGTTTTTTCAACTATCAATAGTCTTCCATATCAAGACAAGAAGACTACCTTGATATTTGAATATTGTTGGGGCCTTTGTAATTCTTGTCAAATAAAACAATTGGAACATTGTTAGGAGTGGTTTCTACCTCTAATAATATGACCAAGAATTAGAAGTCTCTTCCAAGGTTGTGATACCAAATATATTATATTTTACTATCTATTCAAAAAAAAACATGTTGTTTTTTAGGATCTTCATCTCTATTGCATTGTCTTGAAGATTGTGACAATTATAATTTCTTGTTTAATAACTTAACAAATAATAGTTTTTAAGTTGAATCTTCTAGTTTTTGATTTCCCATCTTTTTAGCACCAAAAATACATAAAATTACAAATAAGGATAGAAAATAGAATACAATCTTTCATGAATCATGTTTCTTTTATTGTAGAGATTTGTTATTTTTTATCTTAATTTTGATAGATATTGTTGATAAAAAGGATTAATTTTTTTTATTACATTTACAAGATTCTTTATTGACTTTCATATATATTTATTAATATTATATCTATGCCAATCAATAAGATATTTCAATCTATTTTGATATTGCTTTAAGTCTAAAACCTCTTTGACCTCACATTCTTGATTATTATCCACTTCTATAATAGAAGATGTTATTTTTTGTCTTTTTGGTATATCTATTATCTTATATGGCTTAATAAGAGATATATGGAATATGAAATGAATCTTCATAGACTTTGATAGATGCAATTGGTAAGTTAGTGAATTGACTTGTTCATAAATAAGAAATGATCTAAGTCTATCATAATCCAATTTATCATAAGAACAAATAGTCATGATATTATGACAAAGTAACCATATCTTGTTACCAATATGGAATTGAAGTTATTCTTTGTGATAGACATTCATATTAATCTTTTGTCATTCTTCAGTTTCTTTTACTTATATGTTTATTATTGCATGTAGTTCTAACAAACGATTTGTCAAATCCTCTAATGCAAGATTATTAAATTTTGAAAAATCAAAGTATCAAGTTTTGAATAATAACCACAATTGGCAAAGAAAGGTATTTATTGAGTAAAAAAATATACTATATTATCATAACCAAACTTTGTTTATGGTAAAAAATTTGACTAATCATCTTGTTGGTAGTTGATTGTACAAATCAAATATTATTCTAAAATTTGATTTATGTGCTCTATTTATCTATTAACTTGAGGATAGAAAAACCAAAGATAATTTTTTGTCCACTTCTAGAATCTTAAAAAGAATTATCTAAAAAATTTATACAAATAAAGACTTTCTATCCAATATAATATTTCTTGATATCTATGATATATATTAATGTTGTTAAAAAAATAGCTATTTCTTCACCTATCATAGATTTTGTATATAATACAAAATGTGCCATATTAATGAATTAATCTACTATCAAAAATATAAAATCTTCAAAATCTAAAATTAAAAGTTCTTTAATAAAATCCATAGAAATAAAAGACTATGATTGTTTTTGAATAAGTAAAGACTAAAGAAGTCTATAAGATTAATTATGATAAGTATTTTATCTTCAAAAAATATTATATAATTACACAAAGGCTTTAATTGCCTTCTATATTTGAGGCCACCAAAAATCTTTAGATATTAGCCACAAAATCATCTTGTATTAAAATGCCTGATTGTTAGAAAGTCATGATAAACTTGAATGTGATGTGATTATGCTTCACCTTTTAGAATATATAAATAATTCTTAAAATAGAATAGATAATTTTTAAACTCAAACTTAAAATTACCATGAAACTTAGAAGAATTATTTTTAATATAATAAGTAAGAAGATCAAAGGACATACTTAATTGAACTTACTTGAGAAAGGTTGAATCAATAGTTAATGTTGATTTCAATGGTCAAAGATGAAAATGCTCTAGCTTCAAGAAAATTCTTCTTTATTGATCATTTTTTTTTTTTTTTTTTTTTTTTTTTTTTTTAATAAGATAAGATTGTTTTGAAATAACATTTGATAAGCTATATGTCACGAATACACCTATAGTTATTCGGATAATATGAATAGGTACAAATAGATAAAAGTAAGTTTATTTAATAATAACTTATGGAATAGCTTTTTATAGATATGATTTCACCTTTATATATGTCTATAAGTAATTGATAGGTTAGAAACTTGAATAATAAGTTAGCCATGTATCACATGTATTAATAGCTTATGATAAAAACTAATGATATGGAGCATATATAGAAAACTTACCTTGAAAATTAAAAAATGTATCTTGCAAATTCGACATGAATTAGAGATCTTATATAATATTACCACATAGATCTTATGTAAATAGTATATATAGAGGCAAGAATAAAGCCTTCTTTATTCTTGTCAATTCTTTTTATGTTTCTAATGTAGTTTCAAGAGTCTTTTATTTTCTAAACTTTGGTAATAATCATTTCAATTTCTTATTAATTTTTTAATTTTTTAATTTTTAATTTGTCATCTCTCTTTGATTCATTTTTTATTTATTTACATATCTCTTTTAAGTTCTTTTCTTTGATACCATATTGCTCTTTTGGCCAATAAGTAATCTTATAATCAAATATAGATAAAAAAACATACTCTAATAGGCTGAGTAATAATTCAAAACAAGATTTGACATGAAATATTTAAGATTCTTGTGATCTTTATACATAGTGACTAGAATGGAAGCGCCTTCTAGATAATGATGCCATTTTTAAAATGAATATATAATTTCGTAAAGTTATTTTTCATAGATTTTATAGTTAATTTAGATTAGTAAAATATTTTTAGATTAAAAAATTATTAGATGGAGCCTGTTATATATTTCTATTTATGACAATACCACTATAATAACAAAAATTGATGTATATATTTCTATGAATCATCAAATTAATTCATTAATTATTTTAGAATAAAAAGATGCATTTAAAGTGCTTAAAACCATAATATATGGTGAGTAGTATAGAAATCCTTAGACAAATAGAAATTAGAATGTTACTTGTAGAAATGGAGTCTTAATAAATGTTGGATGTAATTATCTTAGTTAGTTTAGTATTTTTATATATTATTAAATATTAAAAATTATTAAGATAATATTTATATTGGCCTTATATCTATATATATTAATTATAAAAAACTTATAAATTTTAGTTTATGGTTAAAAAAAACATGAGAAAGAACCTCATATTTTTTTAATTAATTATATAAAAAATAGGATATAAAGTAGATTTAAATTTATTTTTATTATTACTATAAATTTATTTTAAGATAGGAAAATATATCTTTAAATTAATATTAGTATTATAAAATATTATATGAATTTTTAAAGTTTATTTAAAATTTATTTAGCATTTTTTAGGAATTTTAAGAGCAATTTCTAATACT